ACTGTTATTTTAAATTCATAATATTTCACATTTTAATATAATGCAATAAAATAAAATATTTCTAAAAACAATATTTCTCAATATAAGAGTGTATAATATTAATATAATGTACAATATTAATTTACAGTATTTTTTAATAAAATAAACAAAGCCTTTGTGAGCATAATAGTCTTTTCAAAAACATTGAAAAATCTTACAGTCCACTAAACAGTAATTACTTTTATATTTAATATTTAAAACTATTTTTTAACTATTATATTTATCTGTTTTTAAAAATATTAGTTATATTACTTATTATTATTATTATTAAGAAAACAAAAGAACCTAAACAAACAAAAAAACTGGACAGTCCGAATATTTAAATACAAAATCGATGTAAAAAAAATAAAGAATTATATTACTTAATAATAATAATAAGAAGAAGAAAACAAAAAACCTAAACAAACAAAAAAAAAACTGGACAGTCGAATATTTAAATACAAAATCGATGTAAAAAAAATAAAGAATTATATTACTTAATAATAATAATAAGAAGAAGAAAACAAAAAACCTAAACAAACAAAAAAAAAACTGGACAGTCGAATATTTAAATACAAAATCGATGTAAAAAAAATAAAGAATTATATTACTTAATAATAATAATAAGAAGAAGAAAACAAAAAACCTAAACAAACAAAAAAAAAACTGGACAGTCGAATATTTAAATACAAAATCAATGTAAAATGAATATGTACAAAAAAAAATTTTTTTTTATATATATATATAATTCATGCACCGTGCTCACTGACTTCATGATGATATGTTCGAATCTATTGTTATATTTAAGTCATTGTGGATCATTTTACATGCTGTTTATTTTGCACTTTGTGTGATCTAAACTATGTGGCATGGTATTTTGATATCTAGCTTGAATATTATGCTTTCATCTCCTTCTGTTTTTATGAAAGTATAATCAGATTTGTCCCTGCTGTTTGTGATCAGTTCCAGGTCTGGGTCCGGTTCCCCTGCGGTTCAGCGCGTCTGGTCCTCATAAGCCGCTGAGCCGGACCCGCTCCGAACCGCTGCCCCAGAGCCCCCGTGTGCTCCATCCTCACCTGCTCCAGCAGCAGCAGCACAGCGCGCAGCTCCTGGAGAGACTCAAGCAGCAGACTCACCTGGGCAAGGTCCAGATCACACCCCTCACGCCTCACTTTACTCTAGGACAGGGATAATACAATGACTTTCAATGCATTCCGGAATCAAATCTGATTAGTTGTTTGTAGTCAGGATCGAAAAAAGCATGAAATCTGATTTATTTTGTCAAACCACATTCATATTTGATTTGAAATCAGATTTTGGAAATGCACGTCATTTAAGTTTGTGGAAGGAGAATGAAAACAAGTATGTGGGATTCATCAGGATCTCTGTCCGTGTCCCGCAGCTCATGTCGAAGTCCAGCGAGAAGCCTCGTCTCCGGCAGATCCCGTCAGAGGACATGGACTCCGAGGAGGTGGGGCCGTCGGTGGGCGACGCCCATCAGGGCAGGGTGAGGGCGGAGTCTCAGAGAGAGCTGGAGAGTCAAGAGGAGCAGCTCAACCTGCAACACACCCTTATTCTCAACCAGGTTAGACACAAACCACCAATCCTGAAGAATAAGCCGCACATGTTTCATTGTGCAAAAAGGTCTGCCTAAACGTTATTACACACAATTTAGAAGTAATTTCATAATAACTTATGTTTAAATTTGCTAGATATGGGGGAAGCCAAAAATTAAAATGAAAGAAAATTCAAACAATCCAATAATTGTGTGTGGATGAATGTCACAAAAACATTTTGAAAGAAGTCTTGTATGCTCAACAAGGCTGGATTTATTTGATCAAAAATACAGTGATAATGTGAAATATTATTACTATTTAAAATAACTGTATTCTGTGTGAATATATTTTAAAATGTAATTTATTCCTGTGATCAAAGCTGAAATTTCAGCATCATTACTCCAGTCTTCAGTGTCACATGATCCTTCAGAAATCATACTAATATGCTGATTTGCTGCTTAAGAAACATGTATTATTATTATCATCAATCTTGAAAACAGTTGTGCTGCTTCATATTTTTGTGGAAACCACAATATACATATTTTTTTCAGGATGCCTTGATGAAAAAAAAAATTTAGCACGTACCACAAACTTTTGAACTGTAGCACGTGATCTCAAAATCAAAAGACAAACCGTTATGTTTTGCATAAATAAAATAAAGCATGCTTGTTTTTTATCAAGTGTTTTAAAACCTTTATTTATTTCATGACAATTAAGCAAATTTTTTGATCATTTTATAAAAGTTGTCATTAGATGTTCACTACTCTGATACAATAAAAAGCCAGTACAACAAATTACCATTTTTAAAACTAATTTTTATTTTAGTTTATATCAACTTATTTAATTTTATACCATGGTCTGTCTGAATACTGGATTCTGATTGGCTGGCAGATGTGCATTAAAACTGTTTAATGCACAGGTAGTTCCATTAATCACCGATCACCGTTCTATAGTGTAATAGTATTTGGTAAATGTTATCTTTAGCAAGAATTAAAAAAATGATTTGATGCACACACACACACACACACACACACACACACACAGAGAGAGAGAGATCAAAGATCACGCTGCGTACACACAGAAACATTCAGGAGCATAGAAACTTGTTGTCAACACTGCCCCGCGACATTTATTAATAAAATAGCTTAGATTGGTCAATCGATCGATAATTAATTCAAATAAATGTTATAATACATTATTTCAAATAAATGTGATCTAACTGCACTATTTCATCCCTGTGTCTGATTTGAAGCGGGCAGAATGCTAGAGCTAACAAGCCGTAACTGACGAAAATAACCGTCTTTTTTACCTTTCCAGTCAAATATTGCACTGCAAACATCATAAACAGCTTAAACTTGTCAATGTTGGCAAATAACCATGGTATAAGCGGGATAATGCACAGTTAGATATGCATTCAATTATTTTAATGCACTCCTCTTCGTGTCGGGTGGTTCTTGGCCTCCACGTTGTGCATTAAAATCATTTAATGCATAGCTAGCCATGCATTATCCCTTACTTAATGTTAATTTTATTCTGTAGTATTTTAACCAACTACTATTAGGTGTAAATACCGTTATTATATCATATACCGTATCATAATTTGATCATACACAGTAAATGAGAATGACAGTTTTTTCCATGTAGTAATACTTCTCAAAAGTATAATATGATATTTTATTTCAGACATTTATCAGACATAGTTTTCATAAAACATCCTGAAATACTTTCTTTGCAGTCACGCCTGTGGGAAACGCAAAAGCAACTCCAGCACCTGCGCAGACAGACGGCTCACATGGAGACACTGGCGGTACCCATGATGCTCGGTGCCGCACACCGGCCGCTCTCTCGTACGCAGTCGTCTCCAGCCTCCACCTCACTAACGCTGCCGGACAAAGCCTTGCCTCTCACCACAGCACAGGAGCCGCCCCAGAGCCAGCCGCGCTTCACCACGGGTACAGAGTCTCCACCAATCACACGGCTCTCTGCACCAGATGAGACCTTCTCAGTGACTGAAACCTCATTGTGTGTGTGTGTGCAGGCCTGGTGTATGACTCCCAAATGCTGAAGCACCAGTGTACGTGTGGAGACAACAGCAGCCACCCAGAGCATGCTGGGAGAATCCAGAGCATCTGGTCGCGCTTGCAGGAGAGGGGCCTCAGGGGCCAGTGTGAGGTATTTACAGCCTGCACTTCCTCTCCTTTCCTAAAGGGGGTGCTGAATAATCTGTCCTACCATCATTTTCAACATTTCTTGAGCACATCCACATTAACGGAACAGTTCAGCCCAAAATCAACATTCTGTCATCATTTATTCACCCTCATGTTGTTACAACCCTGCTTGACTTGATTTTCTTCAGTGGAAGGCAAAAGAAGAATTTTAGGCCTTTTCAATATAATAAATGTCAATAAGCCTCTGTAAAGCTTCAAAATGACAAAAACACCATAAAAGTATTATAAAAGTAGTTTATATCACGCATCAACTATATTCTATAAAGATGGAGTGCAAATGAACGCAACAGACCGCTCCATCTTAAGAAAGGCTCTTTAAAAATTACTATATAAAATAGAGGGCAGCGTGAAAAAAAGTGTTTTTCATTGTAGATGAACATGTCTTCACACACCAAATACACAAAATAATGATCTTTAAAAAAGCATCATATGACCCCTTTAAAATAAAGTGTAACTTTCACTTCTTAAGAAAATATTTGAGGACTTGAGATTTTTTTTTTCTTACGAACTTCTTCATTCAAGAAGATTTCCGTGAATCCGGCACCTGGTGACAAAAGCACACGTTCAGTGAATAACAACAGGAAAATTCATGTTATTTTTTGTCGCACAAAACTTTTGAATGACTTCAGAAGATAAACAGTATAGCGGACCACGTTCTTCATACTTTTTGGTCCTTTTCGAAGCTTCATTCTCTTCCTTTTTCATTTCTCAGTCCTCATTCACTTCCATTATATTGAAAAAAGATATCCAAAAACCTCCCTGCTTTTAATAACTCCAATGCTGGCAGCATGTTTGCACCATGAAAATCCTCTCTCATGGTCTTTGATGTTTTTTGCTTCCTCTGCAGAGTATTCGGGGAAGGAAGGCCACTCTAGAGGAGTTACAGTCTGTCCACACCGAGCGTCACGTTCTGCTGTACGGCACCAATCCACTCAACCGCCTCAAACTGGACAATCGCAAGCTGGCCGGTAACACATCGTCACGCACACACGATTCACATCTGATAGACATGAGTCAGCTGCAGCTTGGCCAGCACAACACCTCATTTTTCAAAGCACAGGAACGCCAACACATGAATATAAGCGACTTTCACAATGACTAAAAGGTTGGAAATGTCAAGCGGTGAATGCGAGAATGACAGTTAATCGGCTTGACGTCACTCTGTGTCCAACAGGCATACTGTCACAGCGGATGTTCGTCATGCTGCCCTGTGGGGGAGTCGGGGTAAGTGAAAAAAAGCACACACACACACACACA